AAGAGAGAGAGGGGAGAGGAAAGGGAAAGGAAAGAGAGAGAGAGAGAAAGAGGAAAGAGAGGGAGAGGAAAGAGGCATACAATAATTCATTTGCATTTAATTGTAATGGTTCAAAGAATGTTTGGAAAAATGTTCGGCCCTCCAGCACGTTCACTTCATCCAATCTGGCCCTCTTTGAAAAAAGTTTGGACACCCCTGAACTAGACATACCCAATTCCAGCAGCTGTTCCTTATATGCTTTAGCCTCCAGTCCCCTAATCATCTTTGTTGCTCTTCTCTGTACTCTTTCTAGAGTCTCAACATCTTTTTTACATCGCGGTGACCAAAACTGGATGCAGTATTCCAAGTGTGGCCTTACCAAGGCATTGTAAAGTGGTATTAATACTTCACGTGATCTTGATTCTATCCATCTGTTAATGCAGCCTAGCACTGTGTTGGTGCTGCATTAACTTTTTGGCAGCTGCAGCACACTGCTGGCTCATATGTAAATGATTGTCCACTAGGACTCCGAGGTCCCTCTCACAGTTACTACTATTGAGCAAGGTACCCTCTGTACTATACCTGTGCATTTGGTTTTTCTTGCCTAAATGTAGAACCTTACTTTTTTTATCATTGAATTTCATTTTGTTAGATAGCACCCAGTGTTCAAGTCTGTCCAGGTCCTCCTGTATCCTAAGTCTGTCTTCTGGAGTGTTGGCTATTCCTGCCAGCTTGGTATCGTCTGCAAATTTGATGATTTCCCCATCTATCCCCTCGTCCAGATCGTTGATGAAGATGTTGAAGAGCATTGGGCCCAGAACAGAGCCCTGGGGCACCCCCACTACACACTTCCCTCCATGTAGATGTGGTTCCATTGAGGACCACACACTGAGTGTAACTAAAAGCTTGATTGGAAATCAAAGAGGCTAGGTATTTATCTGTGTCTGAGTATTGTGCCAAGTCTATTTTAGCCGCCACAATCTTGCTGCTGTACCTCTATGTCACCACTAGATGTCTCAGATGTCCATTTCCCAACATTTAAAGCCAACAATTATTTTCTGTTTAAAGTTTCTTAAATTTCACCCCAATATTCTTTCCAAAGAGAAAATCTTTATCAGTTTTCTCAATTCTATGGTTTATCAATGTTCTGTCTTCACTCTGGTCCACTAATTTTGTCACTTGGTCAAAGAATGCAATAAGATTTGTCTGGCATGATCTGTTTTTGACAAACCTGTGTTGGCTTTTAGTAATGACTTTGTTTGCTTCTAGGTGTTCGCTGATTCGTTGTTTGATTATCTTTTCCAGAATCTTCCCAGGTATTGAAGTCAGGCTGATAGGTCTGTAATTTCCTGGGTCCTTTTTCCCCCCTTTTTTGAAGATGGGAACTACATCAGCTATTTTCCAGTCCTCTGGTAGTTCCCCAGTGCTCCAGGATCTTTGAAAAATATAGTTCAGTGGTTCTGAGGTCACATCTGACAGTTCCCTAAGAACCCTGGGGTGTAATACATCTGGTCCTGGTGATTTGAACTCATCTAGGCTGGACAGGTGTTCACCTACCATTTTCTTGCCTATGTCAACTTGTATTTTTATTTTGTTTTTTATGGCACTATTTTTGATAGGTTAGTCTGTTTTTTCCCTTTGTGTAAAGACAGATGCGAAAAACGAGCCAAATAGTTCTGCTTTCTCCCTGTTGCTTGTCACCTTCTTGCCACTTTCACCAACTAATGGACCAATCGTTTCCTTTACTTTTTTCTTGTTTTTTACATGTTGAAAGAAGCTTTTTTTGTTATTTTTGACTTTGGTTGCAAGCCTTAGTTCATTTTGAGCCTTAGCTCTCCTCACTTCATCTTTGCAGGTTCGGGCTATTTGCTGATATTCTGACTTAGTTATGTGTCCCTCTTTCCACTTTCTATACTTGTCCTTTTTATCTTTCAATTGATCAGAGAGTTCTCCATGCAGCCATGCTGGTTTCTTTTGAGAGCTGTTATTTTTCCTCTTTGTTGGTATTGCGCTAGACTGGGCCTTTATTATCTCACTTTTCAAAATTTCCCAAACCTCTTGAGTTGTTTTTCCCTTGAGGATTCTCATCCATGGAATCCTTCCCAAACCCTCTCTAAGTTTATTGAAATTAGCTATCTTGAAGTCCAAGACTCTAGTTTGACTGTGTTCTATTGCTTGGGCTTCCATAATGTTGAATTCCAATATTGCATGATCACTTCCCCCCAAGGTTCCTATGGCTTCAACACCTTCTATCATTTCATTTTGTGTAAAGACAGATGCAAAAAACGAGTTAAATAGTTCTGCTTTCTTCCTGTTGCTTGTCACCTTTTTGCCACTTTCACCCACTAATGGACCCACTAATCTTCTTTGAGTCAGACCTCAAATATGGGTTAATAGTTGATTTATTTGAGCTGCTGCAGGAGATCAGAAGAAATGGATCTCTGTGGTCAGAGAAAACTTGCTGTAGTTCTAGGAATCCTGCAATTCTTGGAAGGATGTTTCCATTCCCACCTTGGATGAATGGTTACAAAAGCTGATGGAGATAGCAGAGATGGCTAAACTGACTGTTTTGATAAAAGAAAAGAATATAAGTACTTTTGTTTCTACTTGGAAACTGCTTCTGGACTTTGTGCTTGAGGTGGAAAAAATGATACTGTGATTTTGGTGTTTACTGATTAGACTGACTTGTTGATAAAGAAATGGCTAGTTCATACTACTACAGAAATGTAAAAAGTTGAGATTCGATTTTAAGGGAATCGGACGTCAATGCCTTTTGTTTCTTCCCCCTCTTTCCACATTTCCCTTTTTCCTCTTTCCCTTTGTTGTTTCTTACTATTTGCTTTTTATTTTCATATTTTTATGTTTATAAATGAATAAAATTATAAATTGATAAAGGAATCCTGCAATTCTGTAGAAGAAGGTAATGTCTTGGAAGAAAAAAATGTATTTAAATATTAAGGAATCTTTACTCATCGTTTACCTGTCTCCTCTTTTTCTTTTCATAGGGAATGCCCAGCCTCCTGAGTGTAAGAAGATAGGAGGACAATGCTATCAAAGTAGTTGTCCTGGAAAAAATAACCAAGGGTGGAAGGACTGTGAGTGGGGCCAGTTGTGCTGTAATTAAACGGTAAGAAAACTCTCCTCTAACAGAGATACAATACATAATGAGATTCTCTGCCTGATATAGTTTGCATTCACAAAGCTTTGCAAAGCAAAGCATTTACTTTAAACTCACTTTGATCAACTTATTATTTTTTCTCATTTGTATAGCGGAAATGGAAAATAATGCCATCTCCATCTACGACCATGGATACCTGCAAGATATGGCCAATGACTTGAGATTATTGCCTGCTGTCGCTTTATCTTTCTTTATATAAATCAAATTGCTACCCATCAAACTCTAAAACATTTGTGCATTGAAATAAAATTTGGCAAATATTTCTTGAAATAAAGCTAAATGAGCATTGCAGACATTGTGCAACTTCTTTAAAAAGTACCTGGGAGCAGTATATTCCTGTGACTACTGGTATGAGAGGGGGAGGGTAGAGGGGGGGAGGTGTTGCCTGCTCTTCAACCACATATTATGCTATAATTTCATTGTTCCCTTTCAGTTTATTTATTGTAGAAATTACTTTGCCACTGATGTCTTCCAGCTACTGTACTTGCTTGGGCAGAAATAGTATAAAATTAAATTTAAGCTATTCACTAAGATCTTGGAAAAGAGCAGGAAAATAATTCTTAAGATTATTTTTTCTCAAGTTAAATAGCATTGGATACAACTTAGAATAAGAATGACTTTGCCTGATGACTTACTTTCAGCACAGTCTGGATCTTGATAAAGGAAATGAAAATGTACCAATAGGAAATCCACAAGAGAGAGAGGATCCTTTCATGGCCCATTCTTTTTGTTAAATAGACAAACCAACAGATGTTATGAAATTAATTTTAGATACCATCTAAACAAATAGATAGACTACACAATAAAACCACATTACCAAAGGGTGAGTCACCTAGGACCTGATGCAGACAAACACACACAGCCAACATGTGAGGGATACTATTGTGGACACTGTTATAGCTATGCTAATAAAGAGGTATGATCTAACAATGTACACAGGTGAAAACATAATTTGCACAACCAGTATCCATACAAGTCTGAACCCATTTAATTCCCCCCCTCAACTTTCATTCACACACTTTCTACTTCTCTTTTATTACAACGTCTAAATTTATAAGGGGATGTAAATATTTAACTAGTGGCATGAATCATCCTATAAAATGTTAAAATCTCAGCTATGAATCAGACTTCACTGAAAAGAATTATTAAAAAAGAAATAGTAATTTCTAGAGTAAGTCTAGGACCAATAGTTTACATATATCCATTCTTTATTAGCCTTTTAATGCAGCATTTTTTACAACATAGGCAGGGTACATGTAACACAGAAATCAGCTAGATTTCCCTTTTCCACTTTTATCCTCATCCCTCATGTTTAGGGTCCTTTCTCAAATCAATTCTATCACATCATGGAGTTCAAAGGAGGTGGGATAGCCTAATAAACCTCAACATGTGTTTTCCATCTCCTTAAGTGGTTTTCATTCATTTGGATAAAAGAGTCTGTGTGGAATTCCTGTAACTATTCAATATTTCTGATGATTCAGGTAACCATGTCTGTTGCTACAACAGGTAAATACATACTTCCCTCAGCTGGAAGCCCACAATTATGTTTCAGGTAAATGTTGAAATATTTAATATGGATCTAACACTAGGTGTATAATGGCATCATAATATGATCATAATATGGTGAATATTATTGTATTCTTTACCTTATTTCATTTTATGTCAAGGTTCTGGTTAAAAAGCCCAACAAATTAAATCCAGCAGATACATTGCAATCTCTAATGTAAAGCTTTATTAGGCATAGCATATCAGCACAGTAGAAAGAATACCAGCTCTGACAATATGGCAGAGAAAAGTTAATTAAAAGCGTAAAACCTTCCCTCCCCTCTCTGACAGTTCAGGTCACGTTGTTTGAGAAGAAAACTTCAATTTGCCAAAACATCTCTTCAATGACCTTGGCTCTCACACTGATAGCAACCACCTGTGCATACTAAACCTTCTCCCCCTCCCCCCAGACTGTAGGCAAGCTAGAAGCATCATGGCAGTTCTGAAGCAAGGAATCTTCATAGCTTGACACTTTATTGTTAAACAACATGGCAGTTTGTCCCCGAGATGTCCTCATTTCCCTCTCTGCACATACAGTACTCATTATACAAGATACTTGACCATTTCTGGGGTAATACCAGGAGCTCAACATTATTTCTGGACTTCAATGCACTTTTAGAAATACATCTGGCCTCTACCTGCTCCCTGTGGTTCTTGAGCAAAGAACTACATTACTAATAATTGACTTTCTTTCCAGAGCGGCTAGTTTTGCCATTTGTAGTCTCACTGACCCACTAATATTCACTGTATGTGAGGGCAAGGTTGGCAGAAATGGGCTCCACCCTCAAGGCAAAGAGCCCTTTCTAACTCCAGTTCTATCACTGGCAGGGAGAAGAAAGGAGGTTTGGGTCTAGTAAACCCTGAAATGTTCTCCTATCTTCTCTAGCCCTTCTTATTCAGCTGAATAAAAGAGTCCAATGGAAGAGTGAGAAATTCCTATACCTACTGGCTCTTCCTGATGATCCAA